TAAAATGTATTAAGCTCTTTATTTTAGTCAAAAATTTCTCGGAACCTGATTTTCCTAGAAACACTCCCATATAATAATTTTAAACTTAAATTAGTCGAGATTTATGAATTACACATTAATAGATGTTACCGTAGAATAACTTACGCGCTGTACGATTATTGGATTATTGGATAATTTTAATTTTTAGTTTTATGAAATAATTTAAAATTCAAAATTAGTCGATCATATACATAAATAAATGATATCAAATCAAAATAAATTACTTTAATTATCATCTAACAAGGAATTAATAACATTTTAGTCGAGTTATAAAATTATACAATATCGTTAACCTAGTAATATTAATCATTACAGATATTACCTTCTGGACCTATTAAATTGCAAATATGTTAGAAAAATTTATTGTGAATTATTTATTAGTGGCGCGCCTCGATCATATACATAATATCGTGAGAATACCATTTCCTATTACAAATATTATATTTAAATTTAATGGATTAATATTAGGTTGAGAGAAGCAAAATTGATAATGCTTTAATTACCATCCATGATTGTAAATTCGAAGGAAAAAAATAAAAGTTTTCACTAAAAAAAAAAAAGAGAGATTTTTAAATAAACTATTTTCTTTATTTGGGTGATCCATTAATATTAAATCGATACCCTAAATTGGAATGTTTGTTATTACATACATTTTTGTGTTCCCATTTTTTATAAAAAAAAAAATAACTTGAAATGTTAATATAAAATACAAAATCGAAGGCATTTAATAACATATCCTGATATATTATAGTGAATTCGTTTAACCAAAATTATTCAATTCGTTCAATTCATCACCATTAACGTTAATTTTTTGGATATTCAAGCTAGTGCTCCGTAAGGGTCTGGTCCGTTTAGAATTACAGAACCAGAATTCGACCCGATTATTGTTAACCCGGATTCGACTCGAATTTCAAGGGTATTATTATTGCCGAAAATAAAAAAGTGTCATAAAAGTCATTTTAATAAAAAATTTATTATTTTTTTTGTGAGCATTAATCCAAATTCTTTTTTTTTTTACATCTTTTAATACCACATCTTTTGGTAGATATCGGATCGGTTCCGCCAGAAAAAAACTTGTTCTACTGGAACACTTGTTGCTTTATAAAAAAATATATTAGTTAATCGTTAATTTTTTTTTTACCTGTAATAATTCACTCCTCTTATTCTAGAAGAAATTGTACTATCAATTTGTTACAATTAAAGTCGAGTAACGTAAAATAAAAAAAAAAATCTAGCCCGTTAATTTATATTAAGGAAGTTTTTGTTCCAAACTCTAATATGATTAAGATATCGTATTTGTTATATGTAATCAAAATTCGAGTTTAAAATATTGTAAGATTTGCTCGTAAAAAAAAAAAATCTGTGATGAAATCCAACCTGAAACATGACCAACTTTATTTAATATCTTTATATTTTTTATCAAAATTTAAACTTTAATTAGATATAATTATAATATTAAGAAAAATTATAAAAAAAAAAATGTTAAAAAAGAATCATTTTAAAAATATTTTTTCAAAAAAAATCAACAAAGACGACATATATAATGCTTTTTTTTTTGAAAAAAAATTTATAGTTTTATAATGAGCTCGACTTTTTATAGTGAAGCTCAGCTATCTAATAAAATTTTATTTTCGGTTTCTCCCCTCCAAGGTATTAACAAATCACCGTTGTTAACCTTATGCGCCATTTCGTCGTCACGAAAAGTTTTGGCTTCATAACCAAATACTAATAAGTCTGCATAATCTTGAGAATTCGTTCGTTGTTTTTTACGTGGATGCTTGTGTCTTCGTGATTTATTATTACTAAATTTAGAAGACGACGAAGAGGGCTCTGACCAAATATTTGGTTTTTGTTCAGTTTGAGAAGGCTCTGGTAAGAGAGTTTCGCTAAAAAACATTATTGTAATGCGATGACAAAAAAAAAAATTGGAAAGTTGAAATGGATTTTTATTTTGAATAATAAGGTGATACGATCTATTTTTGGGAATTTTACAATGCCGCAGCTCTATTTTTTCAGGGTTAACGTTCAATGAAATTTCTATATCTCAAAAATGAGCAATTAAGCCACTAAAAGTATTTTAAATATTTAAATCTTATAATAAAACAAATTTCCTATTGGAAACAAAAAAAAAATCCCACGCACGTATATACATATATATATACACTCTTTTTTAGCAGTTAACATTTGTCATTTAAGGTTGCTCGTTCCTTGCCTAAACCTATTTTAAATTTGACAAAAAATTTAATTTCGCGGCAGGTTTGTTAATAAGGTCTATGTATTCTGGGACAGAATTTGTTCGGTAGTAAAAAAAAAAAATTTTTTTCACTTCCCCTATATGTTAACGGACTCGGGGATGAAAATTTACCATGAAAGTGACTGGATCTTGAATAACTAATTTTGTTTTTCTATTCCTAAACTTGACAATACTTATTTTACAATGACGAATTTGGCTTTAAATTTGCATTACCGCATTTTTCGAACTGCGGAGCACTAATGCCTAAAAGCAAGTGATTGATAAATAAGCCTTTAAATGTTTGCAAGCATTACATTGTATTATCGGCAAGAACAGAACAGAACTATCTCATAAAATTATCATAATTTGTAGCCTGAAAAAAAAAAAGTCGATTCTCTTTTTTCATGTAACATAAATTTGTTTATCGTACATGTTTATATTAATTTATATACTACAATTTTGTATTTCGCTTACAATAGTATTTGTATGTTAAAAGTTATTAATGCGTAACCATCTTCTTTTCATTGAAATAAATTTTATTGAGCATTTACTAATTAAATCCTAACATCCATGAAATTTTTAAAGTCACAAACTGAAGAATTGCTTTTATTTCCAAAATCTTAATTGTTACGATTTCTCAATCAACCCAAGCTTTATTATTTTTATGCCATGACTCAATCGAATCTTCAGGATATTCGTCAAATTCAACAGCCCTCTCTGGAACGTGAGCCCAATCAGCTTTGTCTTTCAACATGATACAAATGATCTGTTTGGGTTTTGGGAGTGGAGTATCGATAGCTGAAGCGAATGGATAACACTGAAATTTGCAAAAAGAAAAATAAACATCAAGGTAAAAAAAAAAAAAAAAGGTGTGAACAAACGTGAAATGTTTTACCCATTCAGGATATTGTTGATCATAGGCCCATAACATGCATCCGCATTCACCACAGAAATGTCGTTTATTCCCACTGTTAAATTGATATTGTTATGTTATTTATATGTTATGTTGAAAAAAAACCCCCCTCGAATGAACTCTATCTATATAAGGAATTCTTACCATTCTTTTTGTCGGTTTTTTGGTAATGATTTATCCTTAATACCTCGATAAGATCTAAATTATAATTGGTTATTAAACAGAGAAATTTAACATTAATAAGAATTTTACAAATAAAGTTTTTACTTACTTTACATATTCCATACCATTTACTTTCAAAGTGTCATTCTGTTATAAAACAATCTTTTTTTAATTTTTAATTTTTTTAATATACAAATCACATTAATTCGTATGATACGTGCTTGTCCCATTATATTAATGGAGTATCCACCACCTCCGTCAACTTTACGACAAATTGAACTATAAAAAAAAAGAAAATAAGAATATTTTTTTTTTTGATTTTTATTGGAAAAAACTTGAAAGTACACACCAATAGCATCGCATAAAAGGTACTGGAGTATGTGACTTGACCTATGGAATCAAGAGTTTTAAATATTTAAAATTTTTATCAAAGGTTTTATTGTGTAATTATTATAATCACCGTAAATTTGACTTTTTCGCAATGACAAGATCCTTGTAATTCCATTTCTGACAAAGTTTTTGATTTTTTGTACATCCTTACTTATAATGAATTTCACGTGCATATTGGGCGTGTAGTGACTTTCGAATCTTTTAGATTAGATTGTGGCATTATTTTTTTTGTGTGGTTTATTTAAAAAATCCTCAATGAAAGTATTAAATAATCCGAAAAAAAAAAAACTTTCATGACAGAAACATTTCGTTTATACTAAATACTCAGCCTCATAACAAGCTTTTACTATCCTATTGTGTTTAAACCCTCCTTAAATAGGTAATAAGATTACATTCAATTTTTTGCTTTCCCACTCAAAACAATTGGGCTGAGGAAAAGGAATCCGGAACAAACGACGTGCTACATTTACATGTAAATCATTAGTGTAATCTTTAATACATACGTTGTACTGATTGATATGCAGTAAATTTTTATAAATACCTTCTTAAATTATGAGAATCTCAAATCATACATTCAACATACGCTCGATATGGTAAATATCTTTTCATAATACTGTTGATTTCGTAAATTTCTACATCTTATTGAATAATTTTTTAAAAGGGAGGAATTGGAGTCGTAGACATTGGAAGTAACGGTATCAGATTTGGTTTGGTATCAGAATTGACTCGCCATTTACCTGTTATTTACGAAGAACGTGCTCCAATTTCGTTATTCGAAGCACAAAATTTCACACAATCCGACGTACGTACAGATATTCCTGAAAGTGTAATTATCGATGTCGAGAATAGTTTGAAACGATTTAAATTTATTGCTCAACAATATAATATCAATCATGATAATGTTCATGTGGTCGCTACGGAAGCAACTCGTACTGCACCCAATTCTAAACAGTTTATTGATAGAATAAAGAAAGCCACGGGATGGGAAGTTGAATTATTATGTGAAATGGTTGAAGCTAAAATTTCTGGAATGGGCATCGTTGCTACTTTTTATGGAGTTGAAGGATTAGTCATGGATATGGGTGGCGGATCGGTGGAATTGAATTACGTGACTCATCAACCTTATGAAAAGGAACAAACAATCCAAATGTCCAATCATCCAATTAATCTTCCTTATGGTGCTGCTGCCTTAACAAAATTATTAAAATGTAACAATACTCCTGAGAAACGGGATGTTTTATTCAAAAGTATAGTCCAGGAATTAAAAGAAGGTTTCAAAAAATTAAATGCTCCTGAAACGATCAAAGCGGATGATGGTTGTTTTACGGTCTATATGAGCGGAGGTGGACTTAGATCTTTGGGTTATTTAAGTATGTCAGAGTCCGACCACAAATCAAATTATCCTATTCCCATCATTAACGGTTATGGTACGTCCGCCGAAGAACTTGTCAAAGCTACCAAGCGAATCACTCCCAATCATAACGTTGACGTTGTGGAGCCTCCAGAGGAGGAAGATAAACCTCTATTTCCAGATGGTAATCCTTTCCGTATTAGCAATAGACGTGCAAAGCTTCTTCCTGCATGCGCTTTCTTATTGGAAGCTATTATGGAAGTTATCAAAGTGCGACACATTTATTTTTGTGAAGGGGGAGTTCGACAAGGATATTGCTTCAACAAATTACCGAGATCAGAATGGTCAGTTGATCCGCTGGAATCTTTTATCAAACATCATCCACTTCAACCCAATCATCTTGAAGAATCACATCATAAGAAATTACTAAAAGATATTAAAAAAGCAATCCCATCTATTGCATATGAAATTCTTGATTCAGATCTACCTTCAGGGAATTCTAAAAAGCCGAAAAGGCTTGAACGTCTCTTGCCAAATTTAATAAATCTCGCTTTTTGGAATATGCCTTTTGCAAAAGAAGCTAGACCTATTTCGGCATTCCAATTATCACTTGCAGGAGGTGCTCTTGCTAATGCACCTGGTCTCACGCACATTGACAGGGCTATCATAGCTTGGTGTTTAATGTATCGATATAATGAAGACGGGAGTGGTGCTAAAAGCGGAGGCGTTAAAGGAGATATTAGTACAATGGCCCCTGGTATATTTGATGGCGTGAAAAAGTTGATTCCAGGTGGAAAAGATGGAAGAAAAATTTGTGAAATCGTGGGAACTTTAATTGGGTTCACTATATTGTGCTATCCAGTTGAGGATGATAAATCCTCAATGGATGATAATTTAGTCATCTTTGAATCATCGGAAAATATTACTCAACAAGACTATAATATTGAGGATAAGAAACCAAAGAAATACGAAATAAAATTGACTTTGGCGGAATCATTATCATGTAATAAATCTGATGTTTATTTGGTTAACAATCCAATTGTTAAAGGAGCTAGTGAAAAATTAGATAAGAATTATAAATTAGGAAAACATGAGAAAGATATAACGGAAATCGTTATGAAAGTAGTAGAATATAAATGATCACCACCAGGATACCAGAATCAAAACCTGGGAGATTAATTAAATAGTCTTTCACCATTAAATTTTTATATAAATATAATTTAATCTCGATTTTGTTTTTTTATCAATAAAAAGCACTCAAGTTTAAACGCTTCTCAATTTTGTTTTTTTATCAAATAAAAAAAAATAAAGGTTTTAAGCGCTTCTAACAGGTGTGGATTTGATTAAATTATTCATTTTCACGTATCATGAAGCGTATATTAATTAGAAGAAACATCGAACCCTCTAAGGGCAAGACGTCTCCTTGCACGATCCTTTGTGTCACACGCATATTTATTCAGAATTATGAAAGATTCTGTTACCAACGAAGGATACACAAAATCGAAAATTGTATATTTATATTTATTGAAAGAAAAATTTGAATACTAATTCACGTGATTTACATGTATGTATATACTGAAATATGGAATGAAATGCTAGCAAATAATGTAAATGTTTTGTAAATTTATATTGTTCATAAACGAGACAAATTGGGTAAAATTTAAAATTCCCGAGATTGCCTTTGAATATCTGCAATTTCCTTCACCTTATCTGCCTCACATTTTTGATCTGCGCCTTTTGAAACCATTTGATCATTTTTAACCAGTTTACCAAATTTCTGCTTCAAAGTTCCAACAGCTCTATCAATAGTGGCGTTGACTTTATCTTTTCTAGTTATTTTATGACCCTCAAGATCATCGCTTCCATCACCTTGATGATGTTCATCAACAGAACGATCAGGAACTTTGAGAGGTACAGGAGGAGATGTATGATCATTGGGAGGAGCTGTATGATCTTTAGGAGGCACGTGAGGAGTTGCATGATCTTTGGGAGGCACGTGAGGAGTTGCATGATCTTTGGGAGGCACGTGAGGAGTTGCATGACCTTTGGAACCGGTTTCATCATGTAGGGGTCTATAAGGCAAAGGTGGCTGCTTATGAAGTGGTTTTACACCAAAATCTATTGATTCGTGTTTCTTATTATCTTTAGCTTCTTGATGATGATGTTCTCCGGATGGTTTGTGGTCACGTTTGTCTTGTTCGTCGGCCCTTTGTTCGTTTTCCTTCGCTTGATTATAATCACCCGTTAAATCAAATGTTTTTTTATGTTTAGTACGCGTTTCAGGTAAAATTGCTTTTACATCGAGATTTGTTGAATTTGGATCAGCTCTTTTTTGTGGCTTAAGAGTATGTGACGTGTCAACTTCTCCTTTAGGAGATTCAGAAGATAGGTGGGATGGTGAGCCTGAATCATCTGTCAAGTAAGAGTTGAATATTAATATTTTTAAATCTGTTAACTATCCTGAAAAAGTAACAACACTTACCACCATGGGGATTTACGCCAACACCACCTAAAGCAGACGAGCCTCCTTCAGATATTTTTGTTTGGTTGGATTGCTGGGATTTATCTAGGAAATAAGAAAAAAAAAGATTAATCAGTCAACTTCAAAATAATAAACTTTTTTTAATCTAATTCTAGAAATCTATTTTTTTATTCTTGAAAGGAATTACGCTTACCACCAAAAGGAATTGAGCCAAAAACCCTACCTAAAGCGGACGAACCCATGTTTGTTACTTTTGTCAAAAGGCTTTCATCATTAGGGTCTGTACTAGGTTGAGATTCAGTATGGGGTGATGTAATGTTAGGTTGGTTCAAAGGACCATGTTGACCTTCCGTGGATCTATCTAAAAGAATTCGAAAAAAATATTAAATTTTTGTGTCTTTTCGAAAAATGAATGAAAAACATATACTTACCACCAGAAGGATTTGATCCAACACCACCCAAAGCGGATGATCCCTTATTTGTCACTTTTGCGAGATAGCTCTCATCGTTAGGTTGGTTAGAAGAAGGAT